GGCTAAGATATGCACTGCGACACGGAGCAATAGCCAAGGAGACAACTGGCACAGAAACAAACACAATACTTCGTTTTAGGATGCAATCATCCCTCTACACGCCCCCCTCGCACAACACCTGTGCGACACTTCTTTCTTCTGGGCAATCGGGACAACTTTGGCGGACTAGTTTCATCAGAGAACTCCCACTGTTCCTCTCCCAGGGTCAGCCATTCTGGCTCAGTACCATCATCCCAAGTAACCAGGCAACGACCACGAGGATCCTCAGGAGACATCACAGTCTCATCACGACGAATCGTTCCAGTATAAAGGTCGCTGTCGCCGTTAATATCAGCAATTCTCACCGATATACGAGCCCCCACACGACTTGGGCCAATAAAATCTTCAGCTGACCTACCAGTCTGCTCGAAGGGGCACAAGTTGTGGATAGACTCCATTTGCTTACGACCACCTGGGAGAATTACCATCACACGATTACCAGACATTATAGCATCAACAAAACCTAAGCAACTACCAAGATCCGCCTTACGCATACGTTGGCGGATCACTGCAACAGGTTCGCCCACATACGGAGACCAGCGACGCTGTTTACCAATACCAAGAGTCTCCAAAACATGAGTTCGCAAAGACCGCCAGTAGGTTTCAAGATAATACTTACGGAAGGCCAAGGCATCTCTGGCAGGAAAACACTTGAGAGGAAAACCCAATACTCGAAGAGGACCAACTTGTTTTTCATAACCAAATGCCAGCAAATCTGGTGTCACAGGCCTCGTCTTCGCATCAATCTCAACAAGACGTCCCAATGGGCGGGAGTTGAGAATAAACGACAAATAGTCCAAGAGAAGGCCGAACTCTCCATCATCATCTGGTATACGGCCACGAACATGACGTAAGGCCTTCCTCAGAACAGAGAGAGCCACACCATGCAAACGGTTCGAACGACCCGCTTCCCAAGGAGCCGATGAAGCCAACATATAGACATCGGTCCCAAGCTTATCCTTTATATCACGATGGAAAGCCTGCGACGAAAAATATGAAGCATTGTCAACATACACGCGACGAACGCCTCCTCGT